GAATTTAATTTGGTTCAGTCGCGAAGTTTGCGCTACGGCGATTTCTCGTCATTAGCTTTCACAGCTACATTCATTCTCTTCGTTTTGTGCGCATTTACGAAGCGTTTTCGTCTAATTCTCTCGCCTTTCAACATTCGAACGCGCGCGCGTATGAAAGTGCACTTTGGTTTCTTTTACCGAACCATCAGCATGGTGTTTTTTGTCGGAGTTAGATCTGTCGTAGATGCATTTGTCGGTCACCCATTTCAGTTTGTCTTTTGAAATCTCCAATCTTTTCACGGGTGGTTTCGACCTCATTGTATGTCGAGCTGGTTTCGAATGAAATTTTCGGAGTTTACTGGTAAAATAAATTCCTTTCAAGGTTTCAGTGAAGTTACCTTCCGTATAGTGAATTAGCTGGTATTACAGCTGTTTGCTGTGATGATTATCGACGCTTCAACCTTATCAACAATTTCTTGGTTGTGCGAGGAGTAAATTTTCATTTCCTCAGGCGTACAATGTCTTCCGCGTTTAAAAGGACATTGAGGGATTCCTTTTAATGTCATGTTGAGATCAGTTATCATTAATGTTGATCATTTCAGTGTTACAGCGACTGCGAGCAGCAAGAAACCTTGAGGTGGTTCGTGTTGAATTTCACTCGCGGATAAATGTTGACTGGGTCGTGAAATGAATTTCAAAACAGTTTACGAAGCAATTAAAAACGGTTCGATTATCAATAGGATCGAAGAATTCTCTTGTGAAGAGCTCAAACCGTTTCTACCCGTTTTGGCTTTTGCTGCGTTCAGTGCTCAAGATGAAGCATCGTCAGATGTATCTGACAGTTTGGTATGTCAATTTCTTTGATTCGAGTTGATATATGTGTTGCGTTTATTTATATAACTTCCGATATCACTGACTCTTTTTTTTCTACGCGAGGATAATCAATGTCAATATCAAGTATGAGAGGAAACCACGGAATTGTTTTATTTCTCTCAGAACTCTTCTATTTCATATTGTTTTCATTCAGGCTTCATATTGCCCTTTGTTAGGTGTCATTTATCACAGCAACCAAGCATGTCATTTAAATCAGCCATCTTACTAGTGTTGCGGTTCTTTCCGATTAATCGACAGATAGATCGCCCTTGCGAGACGAACTAGTGGATAGTGTGAAAAATTAAAAATATTTTAGTTTAGGCATGAATAGAATATTAAATTGCACCACTTGCAATGGACCAATCAAAATGATTGGGGCTTATTTGTGTTGTCGAGGATAGATCATTGATGTGTCTGTAGATCGACGTTTCAGCATTTTAATCACTAGGTGCACAGATTTCTAACAAAACAGTGATATTTACTGGTGAATCCCATGATCAAGCTGATTATCGGTTGTCTATCATCAACGCTTTCGTGACCTGTTAGGCGAATCACTTTTATTAATATTTACTGAATTTTTGACATGGATGAATATTGGCTTTAAATTGTTTTATTTGTTTAACTTATGCCAACTAATAACAGTTGAATTGCTTAAGGATAAACTACGTTCACGTCTGATGGAATTTAAGCAGTGCAATTCACTTGTGGAACTTGTGAATGTTGATGTGGATAGAATAATTGACGACCTGATAAATAATCCATCTGATATCAATCTAAAAATCAATTTAAGATGTGCCAGTCCGTATGATAAAGTCAAAATGATTGCATACGCTTTACTAAAAAGTACTGGTTTGCTGCTATTTTAAAAACCCTTCATGTTTTAGATAATAAGTTGTTTTCGTGTTTAAGTTTCAATACTTAACAGTTGTCGAAGTGATTGTGTGAAATAAGGGTAAAATGATAGTTTCAGTTCCATCTTCCACAGTGCTCTCTAACGCGAACATCAGCGCATCAGCAACAACATTCGCGGATATGAATTTATTCGATGAGCAATGTTCAATTGATGAACTAATCTGTGTTATGTTGATGTGTGTGCGTCGATGTCCTGATAAATTCGACATCAATCTTATTATTCACGCCTTACTGCCACTTCCCAGTGCACCTGATCTCATTACAAAGGTTTCGTTTTTTGTTTTTTTTTTGTTGCTGAATTTGTTTGTTCCATTTCTTATTTACACTCGAACTGATGTAAGCTTTGAAAGTTTTACTTGAGTTCCATTTTTGTCAACTCGTCAACTCCATTTTGTACACTGGTTGTATCAGATGCCACGATTCTTATATTCTCGAATCACTTATTATTTCATTACCAGAAGTTTGATCGAATATTGCTTCGGTGGAATTGAGTGTTGCATATTGTTAGATGTAGTAGTCATTCATATTGACAAAATTGGAACTCGAATATTAAAATTATTTTTAATCAGTAAACAAATTATAGTTGTTGTGTAATTTGGGTGACTCAACGGAAGCATCAGTGGAATATCTAATTGCATTACATTATCCTGATTCGAGTTTATTGTCCAAACAACGATCTGATATTTTGTTCAAGGTATTATTCATTTTATCTTCATTATTCACCAACTTCTTAGATCATCTCACGAATGATAAGAGTATGAATGTTAAGCTCGAAATCATAACAACCACCGTAATCAGTCATCAGTAATGATGCGATCGGTACCATCAACGATGCTGAGTGATAGTAATATTGATAATTGAAGCTGATGAGTTTGGATCATTATGTCGTAAATCGATCATTGGAACGAATGCTATCACAACGAAATAATATACTATCATTGAATATTATTTGTAATTGTCTTAATGATACTGAATTAATAACTTGGCTGTTGTATATTCTCACTAAAAGATTACCGTTAGCATCATTCATCCGGCGACATTCGAAAAGAACGTCGGTGAAGTTACTTCATGAGAGATTATCGCAGTTGATCAACTCATTCTTATCCCGGTTATCGTTTCTTATTTGTTATATATTTTTGAAATGTTTTAATATTTTTGAGTGTGAATATGTTTCATATTGATGATGAAAGAAAGTAGTGTTTCAGGGTTGTTGCGTCAATACATTTGAGTTGCACTGAATTATGCGAAGATAATTTGATTTGTTAATATCATATTTTTGTTAAGATACATTTGCGCATTGTTTCAGTATAGTAGGTATTATATATATAT